GTGGCATGTGTTCCCCAAGCTATGCCATCATCACCATTCTTGATGTCCAAAAGACATGCTCATTTCTCACTCTCACATTCACTGTCAGTCTCACCCACTGTCATCCCATATCTCCTGCCCAAACAGGTCAAAGGCTTCATGTCCATGTGTCTATCTCACCTGAGGGCCCAGCCAGAGGGCATGAGACAGTCAAAGTGCTCGAGGATTATTTGTGAAATGAATGAAAAATGATGAAGCAGAATATCCGCCATCTCTGTCTTAGTAGCAGTACCCTGAGTGCTACGAACATGCTAGTGACTAACTTAAAGGCTAGAGAGAGGTTCAAGTACAACCAGAGGCACCTTAGAAAAAAGGCCTGGTGATGGACTCCTCACAGGTATCAATACTGGGAACCCACAGAACACAGCTGGATGAATACACATACACACAACCTTAAGTAGAGGTCAACATGGCAGTAGCTAGTTTCACTTTGCTGGACAGAAACCCTTTCTCTTCCTCATGGCAGTGTGATGTGGCCATGACCAGCACTTCCACAGATGCCGTCTCCTGACAGAGTGCTCCCAGCAGCTGACCTGGGGCCATCCCAGAGCTACAGACGGGAGGCACTCTGGCTAGGCTGTCAAAACTCTTGAAAATTGGCTTTTCTAGCCACTGTGTTAGCCCCCATTGGGGTGGTCTGGTGCGGAATGGTCTCCAGCTATCGTAACTGTGAGCACATGGTCTTGCAAATCATCAACAGCTGTGGGACCAACATAAGAGGATGCTTTCCACACTATGAGAAATGGTGGTGTAGAGATTGTGAAGAGACTGTGGCAAGGCGTAATCAAAGGAACCCTGGAGAGATGAAGGCCACAGTTAAAGGATTTGATTACTGGATAACTGAATGACAAGCTGATTTATAATTGCTCTGAGACAAAGTTTGCTGGATGATTGAAGGAACCAGAGGCTTCTTCAATTTGTGCTGCTGAACTAAACCTAGACTTTCACTGCTTAAGATATTATGTTTCCTTAATTGAGGAATTGGGTCTTGCTATAAATCTGGCTTGGGACTGCTGGACTAAACCTGGATTTACTCTATGTGATATACTTTGCCTTTCCCCCACAGCCCAACCTATTTCCCTAATAAATCCTACAACTAAAAGTAAAGTCTGTGAGTCAACAACAAACACGGGACACAATGATTGACAGAACTAGATGGACATGTGGAGTGCTATGAGTGCCTATGTAGCTAAGTGTATGGGGTATAGGTATGATTGATAAAGTCTCCCTTTACGAAGCACGTCGAAGACTCAGCCACACCCATGTTGCATCCCTTTTGCAGAAATTATGCTTGTTTGTTGTTGTTGTTTTATAAATTGAAGCTCAGTGGCCACTCTGAACGGAACAAATCTACTGGTTTTCCAATAGTATGTGCTTGCTTTGTGTCTCCGTGTCACATTCTGAGAGTTCCCACAAGTTTGTCATCATGTTACGGCACACTTCATGGACCACAGAGCAGTATGCCTGAACCTTACAATGTACCAGGAAACTCAAATATTCATGTGCCTTGTATTATTTCTACCTTCACCTTATTGCAGTGGTCAGATTCTAAAAGAGTTCACAGAGAAGATTGCAGGAAAAGCAGGGTAAAATGTAGAGGAAATAAAAAAATATTTTAAAAAAAGAAATGAGCCTCATTGGTACAGTAGAGACTGGAGGAACCGATGAGATTATGGCCTTTGGTCAAACTCTTCAAATCAGGAGCAGCATACAGCTCTGTGGTTCAGGACTCACCAAACAATGGACTAATGGACAGGCCTGTGAGGTGACCATAACACCGAAGAGCCACTTACTCCTTAGAAAAACCAACCATACAAGATCAAAAGAAAAGCATTTTCCGAAGAGAAAGTTCAGATCAGTGGACATGAGAATTATAGAGGAGAAGTGAATTTGCTTTGTGGGTATCGTGACTGATGCTATCAAACAAGATGCGTTGCATACCCATGTTTATCACGGCTTTGTTCACAATAGCAAGGAGTTGGAAACAACCTAAGTGCCCATCAACAAATGAATGGATAGAGAAGCTCTGGTATATTCACACAATGAAATACTATGCTGCATTGAAAACCAACAAACTCATGCAATATTATTCAAAATGGGTGACCCTGGAGGACACTATGCCGAGTGAAATATCTCAGTCACAAAAGGACAGATACTGCATAGTGCCACTGTTGTAAAACAAGACTGCCTTTGGGTTTAGGGGGAGACTGAGAAAGATGGGATAAATAATGTTTACTGCATTGAAACAGATAAGGGAGAAAACTGTTTAAAAGGTATATGTAATTAGGTATTATTGTAATGACAGGAGTCTAGAACGAAGGCTGCATAGTGGGGTGGACCTGGGGGGGGAGGGATTGTAAACAAATAAAGAATTTTTCTTTTACTTTTCAAAAAGAAGGGTGTACTGGAGGGAGGGGAGGGCAAGGAGAAAAGTGCAGCAGTGAGTGAATGGAAATCCAAAGTTTCTGTAAATTTTCATTAAAATTAATAATAATAATTAAATTTTTAAAAAAAAGATGTGTATGAATGGCTGAATGTAAACTTCCCTGCAAATCACACTCTAAAGAATGACAACTACTTCAGCGGCAGGAACTTAATCGGCAGTGCCTCTGAGGTCTGTCTGTAGTATAAAAGATGTGTGTCAGATTTCCTTTCTTTAACACCCTTCTCTGCACACTGACACATGCCTATATCCTCCCTAGGGTGGGACCATCGCGAAGCAAGCACAGAAATCACAAGTATCCATGGAACACATGAGTGTATGTTTCTCACTTGAACACCTTCCCATTCCACTTCTGCAAAAGTAATATTGATACAGCAGCATCCACTAATATGCAGGGCGGAATGAAAGGCTAATTGTCCATAAATGCTTTTAAAGCCACTCCCCACACCACACCGTCCAGTCCACGTAGGATCCTCTCCAGGATCACCGTTACATTCAGGTGCCAAGTTCTCTTTCATCCTTTCAACCTGATACTCTCTCTTTTGTTCTTCAAAACATGGACATCTTAAAACAATGTCACATGGACAGTCCCACTTCCAGGATTTGTCTGGATGCTTCCTCCTGAGAAAGCCTTCTTTGACTAGTAAATCCCAGTGCACATGTGCACATACCCCACAGACCTCAAAATGAGTCTTGAGCTCGACTCTGAAATCCATAAAGCAAGAGACGCTTCAAGTGGAAACTCCAACACAGCCTTGTTTCCCCATCACCATTCTTCATTTCCAAAAGCCATCCTTCACCTTCAACAGGAAGTTCAGACCTCTCAGTGACAGCTCTCTGCTCTCCCTCCCTCCACCTCTGGTGACCACTCATCAACATGGGTCTCTAAGTCCATCCCCTAAACAGGGCCTCACAACATCAGTACAGTAGTGTCTGGTTATTTCCCTCAGCAGGGTTTTCAAGGGTCATCCATATCACAGCAGTGTCAGAATTTCATTTACAATTAACAATCTTGGCATCAGCAGCCAGGAAACCAAAAGATGAATTGCACTGAGAAAGTATTGTCAAGGACCTCTCCACAGTACTGAAGAACAATGAGTCTGGAGATGAAAGTGCACCTGATGCAGACCATGGTCTTTGCAATTACGTGCTATGCATAAGAAAGCTGGACAATGACAAGGGATTATAGGAGGAGAATTGATGACTTTGAGCTGTGGTGCTGGAGAACAGTATTGAATATACCATAGACTGCTAGGAGAACAAACAGGTTCACCTGAGAGATTGAAACCGGCATGCTCCTTGGAGGCAAAGATTCTGAGGCTTCATCTGACATAACTGTGGACATGTTGTAAGGAGGGACCGCTCCTTGGAGAGGGACATCATGCTTGGGAGAGTGGAGGGACAGCGCAGGAAAGGAAGACCCTCAGTGAGATACATTGACTCAGTGACTGGGGTAATGGGTGTAGGTGTGTTATACTGGGTAAAGTTGGCACAGGACAGAGCAGGGTTCAGAGCTGTTGTACATAGGGTCCCTATGAGTCGCATGTAACTTGGCACATAACAAAAATTTTAAGACCAAATAACATCTAATTAAGTATTTGCCATGTGAAAAGTCTTAAACTCTGGACTTTTGAGAAAAAAACAGAAAAGAAAACACAGTGACACTGGGCTTTGTCTCTAGGGGCCATGGACATGGGGTCATGAGAAGGGGCTGCCTCACTCAGTCTGCCACGGCAGACTCTGTCCGTGACCTGTCCCAGATTCAGGTAGCCCAGGTCTCCAGGAGGGTGGACTTCAGGCTCCAGAGCTCACACTTGTTTGGGGACCTAAGGAATCCCTGCCACAGAATCCAAATCCACGCTGATGTCACTTCTACACAAGGAGCGAGCTGTGTACTCCCTCTCTCCCAGTCTAGGGCAGCTCTGTGAGCCCCAAGGACGTCTGGGCACCTGTCTCACAGCTTTCAGAATACCTTGCATGTTTCAAGTTCCACCATGAAAGGCATGTTTGGAATGTGTGTGAGTCACCTCAGGGAACCTGGCTGGCTTCTCACCCTGGAGTCACCCACTGACTGGGACCAAACAAATGTTCAACTCTAGAACTTTCTTTCATCTTACCTTGACTCTAGACCAGTGAATGCCATTTCAAATTCAGAACTTTAAACTTAAGCCCCAAAGTCTATGTCTCAGAACTCCACGAGCAACACAAAGGAAGCCAGAATGCCAGCCCCAATCCCAGCATTCTCCATGCGCCTCTGGATGGTCCCGGGCACGCCCGGCTGCTCCCCAAGGAGCCCTCCTCTCTGCTCATCTCTGCACCACAGCTACAGGTTTATGAGGTTGTTTGGCTCATAAAGAGTTCATTAAACCATAACATGAATAATGCAACAAATATTTTCCAGGTCGAACGAGACATGTAAGGACTTGGCTTAGCGAATAAACACATCCCAACTGCCTGTGTTCCTCAAAGCCCTTCTAAGCTGGACCACACCCAACCAAGGCAAACGCGTAGGACTCACTTTTTGAGAAGCCAAGTATTCCATGCCTCTGGCCAGCTGGTAGGTGCACGACACCAAGTCCTTGAAGGTCATCTGCTCCTCAGGGACCCGGTTGATGTCGTAGGAGTACTCCATGCCGGGTGGCCGGCGGGCACGCAAGTATTCTCGGAGGTTCCCCTTGGAAGCATACTCCACGATGACGTAGAGTGGGCCTGGGGAGGGAGAGGACGCTCTGTGAGGCAGGGACCCCAGGGCCCACCTGTGGTCTCAGCACCTGAGTGACGTAGTTCAGCCCAATTCTTCTGTCTGCTGTTCTAAGCATTTAGCACACAGAAAACCACACCAACCTGGAACACATACATTCAAATCTCCCCACACGGAGGCCAGGACTTGGTCATGCCTAAAGCACTGGTTTTTTTCCTTTTGATTTTTCCCCCTCAAGCCACACCACCCCCAACACACA